GATCATTTCTGGGTAAATGCATTTCTATGTTCAATAAAGTTCCACAATTTAAATTCATGTAAAAAACATACTTATGAGTAAAGGCTATTATAAAGTTGATGATTATTTTAAGGACCGCAATGCATGGAATTAATAGCCTTCGCTTTGCCTTCTATAACGTCTAATTATCTATAGTCCTACAGACTTTGAAAGTTGTATTTATTATTTTTGAAATACGTACTATTTTGGTAATGACATGATTTATGTAAATGTCATATTTTATGATGAAGATCTGGTAAGCTGCTTTCGCTGGTTCTTCTTGTCAGCTTAAAGACGTCCTGAACAAGTGGTAGGGGAAATTCTTTTTTAAATAATTAAAAATTGCTTGAAATAAGCTTACTTGAATAAAATACTTTCATTTCTTTTCATTATTAAGCGCTTATCTATCCTCAGACATCCTTGTGCGTTGCTTTTAGCTACAGCGGTTACTTATTCCTATAAGTCACCGTTGTAACTATAAGCAACGCTATATGATCGCAAGTAACTGCATTATAAGGTCGTTTATAATCGATGGTCGACATAGTCGATGGTATTGCATTGTTTATGCTTAGCGAAATTCTCCGCCAACCATTAAAAAAAACTTCACACTCCACTAGTTAGAACTAATCTCGGTCTCAATTCGCCATTAGTAAGAATGTCCCAAGAATGTAATAGAATGCACAAAAAAGGCAATATCGATATCTTTCATGTTTCTTTGTCTACATTTAGGCATAGAGTGCTGAAATCGTTGTCCTCGGGGGATAGATTTTCATTATTTTTCATTTAAGAATTTTGGTTATTATTATTACTTCGAATATTTTTTTTTTAAACTGATTTTAATTCAAATTGACATGCAATATTGACGTACCTATATTTTAATTTCTATTAAAATTGACTAATTACAATTTAACATTGCAATGTATCTATTATAATATATAATTATTCTTAAACAATTTCTTTTCCTTTTTTTCATAATTTTGTGTGCAAAGATGTGATTCTTAGTAATTATGTTGTTATTGTAATGATTTTTTGTATTATTAGTCTGTTAGTCTTATGATAATAAATAAATAAAAAATACTCATTCGACCATTCACAATATAATTTTATCATACAGTAATTATTATACAACCAGTTTTAATTGTATTCGTTGTTTTTTATTTGCCCCCGACTACCGTGAACTACCAACAGTTTCAAATTTCGAAGTCTTGTTTGATCAGAACTGGTGGAACAAACTCAAACAAAGAAAGTGATTGCTCTTTTCAATTTCAATGTTTAGGGAAACAACCAACTGTTACTTTGCATTGTGATATGGGTTGAAATTTCTAAGACTAATTGTGAAATATGGTAGCTATGACCAACATCTTAGTCTAATTGGACACGGAACCTGTAAGTGTAAAGGATCCGGAACGTCTACAAAATAAAAAAATAAATATATCGCACACCTAGATCTAAACTAAGACAACTCAAAAAACGAATGTGGAGGTCTGACAATACATTTGTTTACATGGCAGGAGCTTGACCACTGTTGATTCAACAAAAGAAAGCTAAAGTTATCTAGTGGCTCATCCCCGAACCTTTATTGAATCTGTTGTTGGATAGATGCGTATGATCACCGAGTATCTGAATATTGTACTAAGTCAAATCTCACTCAAATTTTTGAGTTGTCTCAGTTTAGATCTAGGTGTGCGATATGTAAACGTTTTATATCCGTTTAAAACTACTTTCATTTATTAAATAGTGTGAGTGAGAATAAAGAAGCCAGTACGAAAATATATTGAACGCCATGTATTATTTTTAAATAGGTATCTCCTTTTTTGTAGTTAGTCTTACACTTATTGGACAGTTAGTCTGGCAAATAAAGCAGGAACCGGCAAGTTTTATCAGGGGCAAAAGGTACGCGTGAGCAGATCTTGAATTTCCTTGTCTTGAATGTTCTTTCTTCCTATTATTCTGAGTGTTCTTCAATAAAATAAAAGAGACAACGACAAAGACAAAGGGTGTCGGGGTGTCGCTAGAATTGACAGTGCAAATTCAGACTTAGAAATGTGAAACATAACTCCTTGGTGAATACCTATAGTGTTACAAGCATTTATTGGTCCTATCTTCTTTGGTTTAAATATAACTATAAATAAAATAACTAAATAAAATCTGATATAACCGCTGATAATATGATAGATACCTGTTATTATGAAGCATGTTGGTCTAAAATTCTAAATACTTGGTCATATATTGTCCCTGGACGTATTTCGTCATTATTTTCGTCGTCGTTCTTAAGAGGTAATGAACTTAGGTACTGGGTTTATCCACTTAGAAATATGAATTTCAATGACATACAAATTCCAAATAGCATTCTAAGAACTTTAAAACGCTAGCTCGTATCATCAATCATCAATGGCAAGGAAGGCGCAAGGAACAAATTTTGGGATTATTAGGACACCTGGTTTATGGAATTGACTCCTGGTTAAGGGGGTACCCATAGTATTTCGATAGTATAACTTATCAACAGATACCTATATTACTTTTGAATATTTTGTTTGATCTTTAAAAATAAGTATGACGTCATTGTACCTATTTAGTAGAAATATTGAAATGTAAAATTGAATCTTGCATAAAGATTTGTCAGTATAAATCTCTCGTTACTCTTATAATAAATAAGGCATGCAAATAATTCAGTAAGTTGTGTTAATTAAATTTTTGCCGCAAATAAATACCACTAGTGACATCTCTCGAGTGTTTTCCAAGCTACACGGAATATTGTTCATGCATTTTGTGTTGGTAAATTACAAAACTATATAATAGCACTTTAAGCTTAACAGATTATAATATAAATTAAAAAAACAGAATTGGAATTCTTGTAAAAATTTTGATTAAAATAAACTAGTATGAATAAAACATAACATGTTTTTCCTCAAAGTATACCTACCTACGTAAAAAGATAATTATAAAATATCAGACTCGTAAAACGTTATTTAAATAAGGTTATAATATTTCATTGTCTTATAAGAATAACGCCTAATGCCATCTATGATCCGCCATCCGCACTAACTGGCGAAGTGATCATCCCCTCTGATAGCAGAAGGGGCAATTTCCGTCCACGTGCCAGCAACAATGGCGATATGGGGGCGACACGCGATGATAATACGCGTCATCGTTACGTCATAATATCCGATCGTTCATAAGGCCTCCAGGAAATTGGCCCTTTTCTTCGATTGTAGCCATTTTTATGGGCATGGTTGAAAATACTTACTCACAATAATAGAATAACTTTACTATAGAAAACAGACATAGTGTAATTGAAGAGTATAGCCAATAGGGATGATGACTGGGTAAAAAAAATGCAATTCTATTTAGTCCGTCAGTCAGATAATAGAAAAATATTAGATACGTATTTTTTTTTACTTCAATTTAATAAGAAATAGTATAGATAACAGGCATTAAAGTTGAGGAGTGGGGGCTCGCTACGTCACAGTTGAGTAGAAAACGTACTCTAACGTGACGTCATGCGAAATTTCAACTCAATGTAACGCCGTAATTTTTTATTACGAAAAAAATAAAAAAATACGTGTTTTATATTTTTTAACACTCTACCTGACGGACAAACAAACAAAAATTAGTCATCATCCCTATTATGGGCATGAATGATATGATAATACATTTTTCTTATTGATAAAACATACCATATATTAGGTATCACAAACAGACTATCCTATACCCCCATTTTTTGGGCAGACAGGCCTTCCTTTGAGAAATAGGGTTGCCACCCGTACCTACTATATAATGTAGTACCTAAAATACTTTTCAGCCAATTGTATTACATGTTAAAGAAAAAATAATCTAGTACGAAAAATACTATACTGCTAATGAAATGAAATAATGAAACCTTTAAATTCAGTTACTAAATTAAATATTAATGCCAACAATTTGTGGTAAGAAATAAGGTAATTAAACATTTATAATTAAATTAAGTATTTAAAAAATAAACAACGAACAATGTTTAAATCTAACCACCGCTAATGATTTATATTTATAAAAGCTGTGCTACAAAATCGTAACAAATACATATATTTAAATTATTTCTATTTTACTTTCCATACCTGCAACTTCTGCTTCTTAGGATTTTTTTTTCTGTAATGAATATAAAATGGCAAGAAAAAAATAAAGCCTCTATTAATTTCATTAAGTATAAACGATCATATTTTTATAATAATAACTCTATCGGTCAGTTGCGCAAACGTTCATTAAGGTTTAATGACGCCTTTAAGCTCTAATGAATGTCAAATTTGTATGGATAATGTCACTTTAAATTAATGAAATTTTTAATGGACGTTTGTCACATACATTCTCTGGATCCCAAATTAAGTAAATAAAGCAATTGTTTATTGGAATACTGAAATAAGGTATGTACCTACCATAACACACATAACAAGACAGTATAGAAAAGTATATTTTTTACATTGGTAATTATTATCCGGTCGGGAATAGAACTAATCTCAGAGATTACCATCTCTTTAAATTTAATGAACATATTACACCGGCTTGCGTTCCATATGGTCACGGAGGTCGTCAAAACCCAAACTTAAGAATGAAAACGTAATAAATTTTAAACTGTATATTTAAATTAAGAAACTTAAACACATTTACACTTATATTCCTAAAATAAACAGGATATTTCATTCTTCCAAAGTGTGAACACAAAAACAAATAAAATTTTACAAAATAGGTATGCAGAATTTTTAATCTGAATCCGACAGCGGAATGCTTTCCTGAAACGAAAATGGCTACTTCATTACATGATCATTTTTAAAATAGGAAGGATTATGAACTTTTATAAAATACCTATTAAAGAGGTTTAAACATTTTGTATTCATAAGTATATAGTTGCCAGTCCTAAAAAAACATACAAAAGAATTTAGCCAAATTGGAAACCTCCTTTTTGTAATCTGTTAAAAAACATTTTTGAATTCTATTATAAAATCATTTTGTCAACTCACTTCAAATTCGCCTATGAATATATCAGAGTCATCGGAATGAGGTGGGTGGTCGATATTGTCTACTGCGGTTATCTGTGGCCCTGTGGGAGTTTTGGGAAATTATAAGTAAATATATCAGTAGAATTACAATATTGGAAAACATTACTTAAATTGCTTACACCCAGTTGCACAAACGTCCAATTAAATTGAAATTAGTTAAAGTGACATTATTGATACAAATTCAAAAATTTAGAACATTCATTATAGATTTAACGGACGTTTGTACAGCCAGGTGTTTGATTCCTAAGTAACTAAATCTTGTATCAAGAGAATATGAAACAAAAAAGGTTCTAAATTCAGATACAAGTCTCTATACAAAAGTTCATTTTCTTCACTGAATTCTTGAAACCGACGTGCGAATTACTCTAGTATGTATAGAATGAGATATTGACGTCATAAATAGAAACTGATAGTATCCAAACTAAAATGGCCATTAGACGTATAATCTGTTACGTCCAAAGAGGTCGATTGTAAAATTAAAAATAGGGGCAAATTTCAACCTGGCATCAATCACAAGATGCACAATCAATGTACACTCTATAGCTAGTCACGGATTGAAATGACGCCAGCTTAATAGTGTAATAGCCGCGAAAAAATTATATGACTTTTACGAAAATCAGCGGAATACATATTAAAATCATTGCTTTTTTTTCAGATACGAATTGATACTGACCCATTGGGATACACTCCATTGGTTCAAACAAGTCCATGGAGATGAGATCTAGAGGTGGAGAAGGAGCTGGTGGTGGCAACGCGCAAGAGGACATGCGTTCTGCTACAAATACCAAAGTTAAGTGTCGGGAATATTATACATATATGTTAGATAACCCTGCCGTGTCTCCTAACGTTATGTCATTTTTGTTATTTAAAAATAATAATTGCAATAATATCAACTCTATTCTATTCTATAGTGTAGTGTAGAGATTCTTTAGTTTTCGTAACATTCACCATCACACATACTTAACGTTATTTTCTACTCAAAAGGGTAACAAAAGCAAACACACTTTTTATTATTTTCGTTTAATTTATTTTATCTGATCTAATTACTTTTTTATTTCTATGTACTTTAAATAAATCTTTTGGTTAAATTTACCAGGTCTGATGGCGTTGTCATCGAAGTCACAAGTTGGGTCAGCTCGACGCATTGGTACTGGTGTAGCACAAGGCTCTACCTTCACTTCTCCAACTATTGAAAATTTTTGATATTAAATATAATATCGAAACAATCGATGAACTAACATCTATCAATTGAAATAAGCCCAAGATGTATAAGAAAGTACATATTTTCGCTACATATTAATTAACAGCACAAACTCATTAGTTTAAAGCTACATTACCCATACAAATTTGACATTTATTAAAGCTGAAAGGCGTTATCAAACCTTATTGGACGTTTATGCAACTGACCGTAAGCTTCTAATAAAATGCGAAAATTGGTAGACAAGATTCTAAGTTTCATATCTACAACATTTATTTATTTCGTAACTTAAAATTATCATTACAGGTGTATCCCAATGCGATAGTGAAAGCAAAATTAATCAATTAAATAATTAATAACACTACATGTAAAATAAATTAACATTAAAACATAATTAAGTAAATATTCATAAATAATATATAAAAAAAAATATAAATGATTATCACATATAATATTTGTGCCTTAAGTAAGTAAGGCATTAGAAGCATTCACGAATTAGAATTATATTAGCATGAAGCCTCTGTCGGCACAGCTGAATTATATTTCTCACCATCGGCAGACAAAGCAGTGTGGTAAGCATGATGTGGTTCCTCAACAGACAGATGTAATCGCCCTCCAGATTTTATCTTCGGCACCACGATTGCCACTACTGGCACTCTTATTTGTACCGCACCATCAATGTCCGCAGCTGGCTCAGTGTTTGGACCCTTTGAAAATGTCTTATTTGCTAAATATATGTGTATGTAACAATACGCGCTAGTGATGGAACCGTAGTCCAATTCACGTAACAAAAGTGTTGAAAATAATACCTGAGCAGAAGCATTCTCATCATTCTGAAGCACAATTTTGCCGCCTACTTTTAGATCTTCAGCAGTAGCTGGTACCAACATCTGTATAAAATAACAAATGCTTATAAAAAATTAAACAATTTAACTACTGCGGCAAAAACAAAAGTTGGACACATTATGCGGAATGCAATGAATTCTTTCTGGAAAAAAAATATGTTTATAAAGTGAGCAATTTTTGTGGTGAAATATATAGACTACAAAAAAATATTTTCTACCTGTTTCCCCCCTGGAAGCTTCGTGTCGATAACCTTGACTAAAACAGGAGTACTATTGTTAGGTTTCAGTAAAGCAAATGGCGTTTGTCGCGTCGCCAAAGCGACTCCCATATGGTAAGTTTTTATAGGATCCACAATCACCCCACTGCCCATAGCACTCCATGGATTTTCATTCCAAGTTGTGTTTGGATCCTGATAAGTTTTGGTGGGATCCCAGGCCTTGTGCCAATCGCTGGAAGACGGTACTTCAATAGATGGTAGATATGGGCCTACGGATGAAGTGACCTCGCAATTTTCTGTTTGGGTTCTGCAAATTTAAAACGTTTTCTTAAGACAGTTATTTAAAAAATATTGTAATTTCTCACTAAAACGTAAGTCTACTTCTTAAATGCTTAATCTTATGATTCTAATTCTCATATTGCACACCTGGCAGGAGTTTCTGGTTGTGTCATTAATAAGGAACGTCCCATTCTTGCTGCGTGTCTTGGGCGTGGATTTACTGGAGAACAGCCATCTTCACGGTGAGCCTAGTAAAAAAAATGGCATGCTTGGATTACTATTACTATACATAAAAATATAAATGTGGAAAATAGATTCTTTTATTCTTTTGCATGTAGTCATCATAATATCAACAATTTTGATCCCGAGTGGAGCATATAAAACGGCAGCCATCTTTATGCCATACGTTACAGTTGACTTGTAGCTTAGGAAAACCATTATAGTAAAGCTAATAATGTTCAGAAAATTTTCCTGCAACTAATTGCTTATCGGTCTTTTTTTTTTTGTAAAGAACTTTTTTTCTATTATTTACCTTATTTTTGTGACACACTAGGTTGGATTGCTGGTTGAACCCTTTCAAGCAAATGTTGCAGCGATATGGACGCTCATTGGTGTGAGTGAAAAGGTGATTCCGTAAGTTGCCTACACACATGTAAATGAATTAACGAAGTGTATTTTGGTGGTAAAATAGTTCAATTTAACGAGTAAATTTATCGAGTAAAAATTGATTACAGAATGCTAACTTCTCAAATAAATTAGCACAAGAAGGAGCCTCGAAGAAAATGCAAGCAACAATATGACATAACTTAAGTCAATCTATTTTTTTTTTTAAAGCAGAAGGCAATGTTTCTTATGTTTTGTCTCCAAAATATGAAACTGCAAATAAGAATATTTTATTTAACCTTTTTGATGGAATCCTTTTGGACAGAAATGGCACTTGTACGGTTTGTCATCAGAATGTGTCTTGCGATGTGATATCAGAGTGGAAACCCGGTTGAAAGTCTTTTGACATACCTGGGAAGGGAAAAGGATAGGATAGGATGGGATAGAATAAGTTAGGATTATAATTTTAATATATATTCGTGCCAATTCCTAAAAATCATACTGACATAAAGGCATATGGTATACTTTTATAATATTTGCTAAATTATCTTAAAATACCTTTTTCTAGAGTCGTAGTCGTATTAGCATTTCGAAAAATACGAAATTAAGTTTTCGGTGAAACAGGGAAGACCTTCTGTTTTCAATCTCACCTCGCAGGCATAAGGCCTATCCGCTGAATGTATGGCACGGTGTTGGCTCAGGGTGGAGAGCTGTCTGAAACTCTTGCCGCAAGCGTTGCAATGAAAGTTTCTTTCGTCCGTGTGGGTCGGTAAATGTCGCATTAGAGTATACTGGTGTTGGAACTCTCGACCACCTGGATGGTGAACAAATACATGAAAGGTTTTGCTCTGGTCTAGAAGAGTTGTTTGGGAGAAGTATTGAGAACGTTGATAATAGCCAAAGTGTGATGTGCCTTCCGAAGTACGAAGGAGCTCAGTTAAGAAATTTCTGGTCTTTGATGATATACTTTTATAAACAATTATCAATATTGATATTACTTACATAATCCACATTCCCATAGTTTCACTGTGCGGCCATGCCTCTTTACATACTTTACAAAATGATATCTCGATCTAGGATCAGTTTTGTCCACTTTGAATGCGGTCTGACTGGTTTTGGAGCGATCTGTAAAATTATTTTAGACTAACGGTGAGTTGCACAAACTCCATTAAGGTATAATGACGCCTTTAAGTGCTAATTAATGTAAAATTTGTATCGGTAATGTTGCATTAAAATTGAGACATTTGTAATGAACGTTTGTGCAACTAGCTGTAAGTCAGAGATACAAAAACAATGTCTCTTTTGTTTTTTATTAAAAAAAAAGCCATAAGCATTGACAAATTAGTTCAGCCTTTACCGTATATATAAACAAAGGATGGCCGAGGAAATAAAGCCGAATACAAAGTAAGGTCGATTCATGCGAGTGGAGTACAAACACAAAAAAGGATTTAATGAATAAAGAGTCGTTTACTATGGCTGATGAATCTTACTTGCTAATACTACGCCTCTATAGACCACGGTCAGCGCCGATTAACCCCACCATTTACGGGATTATTTAAAATTAACTTGTAAATAATAATGATTCTCCTTTATTTATAACCATAGTATAAATATGGATTTAATTAATTAAACTATATTCATACTATGGTAAAACTTCACCTAAATAATCTTATCAAAAAAAATATTAAATAACCATTGCTGCTGGAAGTTGAAGATACAGGTTCCACATAAGGTTTCGACCGGAATGTGAGACCGTTGCGACTTATCAGCGGTGCCACTGAGCTGGATGTGTCCGCTTCCTGCGTGGACCAATAAAATATTATACCTACTTCAAGCGATGATAAAAGTAATAATGTGCACGTTGAACAGTCTGGTTGTCAGACTATACAGTATTATCTGGTTTTCAAAGGCATACCAACGTTGGCGCGATTTAAAATTGCATAACAGGTCAACACATAGAAAATGGGCATTATTAAGCCCCAGAGCGGAGAAGGGATATTAACAAGTACAATTTGCAGTCGGTAGAAAATCTCTAAAGCGCCTTTGAAGCACAAAAAAATATTTTTGGTCACCCATCCCAAAATCAGCCTTTGCGAAAACCTTAATCCAAAATACTCACCACTTCACCATAGGGCCCATTAACCATTCTGTCCACTTTCCATCAAACAAATAACTTGCAATAAATATAAAGAACAATCCTTTTTAAATTAAAACATGATTGACGATTCAAGTGCAAATGCAAACCTTCATTTCACATTTCAACGCTGCATCCAAATCTTTCCCGAAAGTGGTCTGTCCGGTCGTTCCGAAACCTGGTTCGGAAACGAGAGAGGCAATATTGCCGTCCTCTTCGGTCCATGCGAACCGTGCCTGCTGCTCCAAACCCTCGGGAAACTCATCCCGGAAAATGGAACGAGAGACATCCAACTAAAATAGATGCCACATTTATAACGAACGGGTCTTCGTATACCTACTCGCTATTTAAGTTAATTCATCATAACCAAGAAGGTTAAATACTCAAAAAGGTTAAATAGGTACCCAAAAAGGTTAAATACCAAAAAAGTTCGATTTCTATGAACAGATATTAGTTCAGCGTTATATATATTCTATTAGAACAACCTGAGATCAACGCGCGAATAAGTTTTATACACCTACTGAACAAATCACTCTTCATTTATGTCATTAAGAGCGAACGCCTTTTCCCCGAATCTTTTTTTTATTGATTTCATCAAACATAATGTACGTATTCAATTTATATTTTATATGATTCGATTAAAACTAAATTATCGCACGTTTATAACATGTTCCCATTCAGCAATATTATAAATAAAATACAACTTGAACTGAAGATGAGACAGCTAGGCATCATAATAAATTACTATAGCATCTTTCACTAACTTCGACGGGTCATTTTAATTTTAACTTAAAATAAAATTTTAAAAGTCTTACATAATTTTTGCTGGAATTTGCAAGGAGCTCGATGTTGTTAAATCCAAAATTATCTTTTTTATCGAATTTATCACTAAGGCACACTTCTCTGATGCTGAAAAAAACATTCGAGAACACACAAATAAATAAATGAAAATAACACACGTAACGCAAAATAATCGAGACGTAAAATCAACATGGTCCCGAAACATATCGTTTTCCAACTAAAAGGAAAATAATCGAAGATCGGAACCTTATTATCTCGTCCCCCGGACGCATGAAATTGTTTTCTGGCATTTCTTTTATTTCCTCGTCCGAGAACATCATTTATTTTTTACCAATATTCAATTATTTCGACGACAAAAAAACACGAGAGTCGCGTCAAACCGTCTTTTATCGTCACGTCTATTTCGTTTGATTCGTTGTCATGACAACGACCGTTCCATAATTTAAATATTTTTTTAATGGCGTATGATTTTTATATTATCGCAAGTCGATGAAAATATGAATAGAGACTTCTTACATGTTCTTTGAAACAATCACGAAGGAATGAACTCATAGCCTATTCGATTTTTAATATGACCTCATTTGATTTCACTGTCAAGAGATGGCGCTACTGTTCTAATTTGAAGTTTATTATTTATATACGACAAAAATGGCTCATAATAATTTTTGCGATTACGAAATGGAATGTGTTTTGAACTAAGACTAAAGAGTAACTATTTATGTAATTTTTTAGTAGTCATCAATGCCTTTCTCATTTTTTATTCGCGAGACATGAATAGTACCTACTTTACCTAAATACCTATAAAAATTCAAACTTTGAGTGTTTCTAAATTGTTTTTTGCGTCTGTAAATATAATGATCACTTATTTCTCAGTTAAAATGTATCATAATATCATAGATTTCTGAATAAATATGTCGTACCTACTTTTACATAAAATAATTTTTTTTACTACCAATTTATAATCAGTAGGTCAATTAAATAATTTCATGTCTCTAATACCAAAAATTACACTTTCATAAAAAACTCAACCTCTGTCTCAACTCGTAATACCTACCTAATGGTGGCAGCATTGCTGAATACCTATGCCGAACAAGTCTTTTGATTTTCATATTTTAGTAGTTTAACCAACGTAAAATAAACAAAAAAATCAAATAATAGCATCATCTCAAGTGGTTTGCTCATTTCTTTATAGTAATAGTAATACCTAGTAACATTGAAACAATATATTATTATAAATGTCATTAGTTCTTTTAATTTATAATGTTACAAAAATAATTTTATCTATCAATTTATTGAAAAGTATTTTGGATATTTAATCGAATATTTTTTAAATAAATTACAGCGCCATCTATCGAGTACAATTTAAATGTGAAAGCTCTAATAGAGCTCCCATGTGTCAGTAAAGCGACATCTTACAGATGTATGCACAACTATTGTCGTTACAATAGTAAGGTTCTTGGTTAAGCACAACCCGTCATATAAAAATAATACATAAAAGTTTTGTCCTCTGGTCTAGTTATCAAAACAACTTAAGGATTATTTTCTAAGTACTAAGTGTCACCTATTTGTAGGTGAATCTGGATGAAAGCTTTCCAGCAAAGTTTATGTGGCTTTGCAGCGCTATCTAGCAGACTTATTTAGATTTACTTGTACCTTGTAAGGTGCTTAAAAAATAACTTTCAAAAAATAGCATACTTTAATAGTACGTATTTCTCAATTTGGATTCAAGTTTCAAAAGTAATGCGTATAACCTGACAGAGGGCACATTTATCCAATATTAAAGTTTTAGTGTTCCGCAAAGGAATTATGTTCATTTAATTTTATATGTTATGAAAGTTCCTACGAAAACTATTATCTTTTTAAATAAGTTTTATCATTTACTTGATTAAATATTAGTGTGCTTTTTTCATTAAGCTGTTAATTGTATATTGTTTCTCTCGAAGGACGTTCTAAATTTAATGGTTATTTACGTTTTAGACGGAAGCTCTACAAGCAATTGTTTTTGGTGGCTTTTAAGCGCCATCTATTAGACTATTTCAGATTTACTCGTATTACAACCAAAGTACAACCTAGGACAAAATAGCATACTTTTATAGTACGTGTTTCACAATAAATACGCAAGTTTCAAAAGCTATGTTTGAAATCTGTCAGAGGGCGCTTTTATTTAATATTGGAGTGTTCTGCGAAACAATTATATTTAATGAATTTTTGTGTTGCGTAAGTTCACACCTTCGATAAATCATTCATATTTTGCATTGGTATATTTTATTATTAACTACATTACATAGATATGAGTGCATTATATTTACGCAAAAACATGCTCGGAATGTAACAAGGCCTATACATACTACCGAATATATACGATATGACTGGGAAATATATTTTTAATGTAATGTATTAAGTTGCATTATAGGTAATTTAGATTTGAATTAGTAGAATGTAGAATTCATCACCATAAAGCGAATACGCATTAGTTTTAATAATATATTTAAATAAAAATGAATCCTTATTTCCCTTGGTCACGCCATCACACGTGAACGGCTGGACCGATATCACTAATGCTTTCTTTTGTTGTTTTGTTATTGTAAGGAAAAGGTACTTATGAAAATTATGAAATAAAATTGAAAGTTTAAGAATATTTAGCCACCATCACCATTATATATACATCATTCATATAATAAGTTAAAATCTAAAACTAAATTTAATTTTCAAAATTTGTGAGCTATCTCTGAGTTCAGGATATGAGTAAAAAGGTCGTGCGTCACGCGCTGTTTGCGGTCACGTGACAACAAGCATAAAATATTTGCTTTTCATAATTAATTTAACCAATTTAATAAATATATTAAGCCCGAAAGTGTGACTATTGGTTTTAGTTTAAACACTACCAGAAAAAAATATATGTAGTTTTATTTTCTTTTACATTACAAAATGCGTGGTGCAAATATTATCAACTAGCAGGTAAAAAGACGGTCGAATTCAATATTCATAATTAAGACAGGTCAGCGTCTGTCGTGTTAGCGCGTTTTAGAAAAAATATGTTTTAGGGTTATCGGAGGTTAACCTAACTTTTAAAGGGGCCAGCCATAGGATGGGTGACCGAAAATGTACTATCTCTACCTCCTACGTGCTTTTCACCTTTTAGCACCCACATTCCGCACTGGGCCCGCGAGCTAGGCCTGTTTTCCCTGTTTGATTAGTTCCTATCCATATAGAAGACCTTTGTGTCCCAGCAGTTAATAGGCTGATGTTGATAATTTGATATATATAATATGGCAACATGTATTTTTGTGTCTATGGTAGTAAAACGTACCTACTTAAATTAATTTGCAAAGCAGTATTAGTGCTCACTTTGAATAACAAAGTCCACATCATGGATATATGTATTATAAAAAAAAAATGTCAAAAAATAGATTTCAAAATAAGTATTTTTCACTTTTTAGAAATCAATGTAATTTTCTTAATAATTTTTAAAATTTAATAATTAAAATATTTTTTTTTCGCTACTACAGAGCTTATTTTGCCCAATATTTTCTAGTTTAGCTTTGTGAATCTAAAACAGATCAAATATAATAATTAGAACAAATTATCAACTTAATCAAAAGTTTAAATATTTGTAAAAATATCTTTTTTGTCTGTTTGGGTGGATTGTCTGAACACTAATGAAAAAATACGATTTGTAGTAGCAGAAAAGTAACAAGTGCTTGAAAAATTCGTCAGTCCTGTTAGATCCTGGGTAGCTCAGTGGTTAGAGCAGTCGCCCAGAATACGAAAGGTCAGATCCCATCTCAGGGTGCCAGGGACCAAGTGGAGTTTTTAGCATTTTTCATTAAGAATATTTTACAAACAACTTTAAATCGTTATATCCTAAATTAATCCTAAAATATTATTTAAAATCAAAAATGATAAAAGGAACCTAAACATGATTTTAAAACACCCATTCAACGACACCCCACTTGACATAGTTCATCGATTTTTTTTTCATTTTGACAATATGGCGTCTGGTTGTCGCTGTGGTGAATTTTGATTACTGTCATGTCTTTAGTGACACTCGCAAGGTTAAGACGAATCGATTGACGTAAGAATAATCAAAATCGGCCTACGCATTCGGTCTCTAGAACGCCACATAGAAACAAACATACATACATTCATAGACTGATAAACGCATCACCCTCCTTTGCGTCACGCAGTCGGGTAAAAAATCCCAATACGAATTTTAATATCTCCTTGATTCTGTTAACTTTAATAATATAAAAATGTCATTTTAGTAATTATATATCTATACCATCTATACTAATACTAGCTTTTGCCCGCGACTTCGTCCACTTTGGGCATCATATATTTTTCAAAAACGCTGTTGTTTTTCGAGTTGATGATAAAATTTACTTGATGTTTATGTTCGAAGGAAATACATCAAAAAAAAACCAACAAATATCCAATAAGTTTTAGCACTTTATCTTTGAAAACTTAAGAGATATTAATCCAATCCAATCCAATTTGAAATACAGATGGAAAAACAGTTCTGATGTTTACACAAAACTTTATCGGTAACGTAAACTACGCAATTTTTTTTTAATTTTAATTATTTGCTGAAATAGCTTGTTAATTCGATTTTTATATATGATCACGTACTCTTGGCCACATACATCATAAAAAAGTTATTATATATCAGCCGCCCATATCGTTTAACGTAAATGCGGGCAGCAAGATTTTTCCACTTCATAAAATACAAACATTTTCATATCAACTTCTGTACCCTTTTTTGACCCCCTTCGGTATGGAATTTCCAAAAATCCGTTCTTAGTACACCTCTACGTATTAACGGGAATGTTCTTTCCAAATTTCAAGTTTCTACGACCAGCGGTTTAGGCTGTGCGTTGTCTGTCAGTCAATAAGTCAGGACATTTCCTTTTATATATGTATAGATTATAAAGAAGAAAAACTTAATTGTTTGTTTGTTTCCAAAACTACTGGACCGATTTTTAAAATTGATATATTTTACACATGTTCATTGTTCATTTTGCGGTGAACATAGGCTTTATTTTATCCCGAAAAACAGCAAATAAAGGGATGAAAATGGGAGTAAACGTTTTTATAGGGAATGAAAACGTTACCATAATAAACTTTAGTACCATTCGGAAATAGAACTCCGTAATTTATGATTCGTTCAAGAAATAGTATGTTAGTTAACTATTTATATTTTAATTCAACAATTTCATACGAAGTACGTCTTAACATCGCCATGTTAAACTAGATGTTGGATTTTATGAAACACTCGCGTATTGCATTCATAATAAAACCGACTAAGGCACTCCATCATAGTTTATTTGACAGGACGTCTCGTAGATAAAAGGCTGTTTGGATCGGCAGCCTGATAAAGATACTGCATACTCATAGTGCATTTATAAAAGACTTTATACCAAGTATTAATTTGCATTTAATAGGAAAATGCAATTTATATCATATAGATATTATACGTGCATGGAAGATGTTACGTAATTTTCACATATAAAGTACAGTTAACCCTTACATAAAGTGAGAAGTTAAAAGAACAT